GCAGCTGATTCCTCATTTTAGTTCAGAGTGTGGATGGCAGTGACACAGAGACAAAGATGTGTTTGTGTGGCATGCCCTAATTCCACATACCCCCCACTGGTGGGATAAGAGCTTCGTCTCACCTGCAGGGCTTGCCACCAGGGAGAGGGAGGGGATGTGGGTGCGCATGCCAATGCAACACAACAGTCTTTTGGTTCAGCTTCAAATGTTGGAAAAGTGTTGTCTGAAATATAGCTAAGAAATGACTTGTCATGCTCGAAAACCTTGCCAGTGAGATGTGCGGCTGAAGCCTCAATGATACACAATTAGAAAATACTTACGTGAGGCATGAATGTGAGGCGAGTTACAAAAAAGATGCATTTTGTAAAAACAAAAACAAAAAAAAAAAGGAAAGTGTTGTGTTTATTACAATTCAAAAATAAATAAAATCCTTTTTTGAGCAACTAATTATTTTAATCTTAATTTCATACACTAAGATTGCCATTGATCAGATCTGGTCTAATATTATCCACTCTTACCTATCTTATATTGTCCAACCTTTTTACTCTGGTGTCCACATGGCATACTGACATTTTCTGCAGTAGACTCTATAAATTGAAGCCCAATCCAGTCCAACGGGAATCTTTGATTTTTGAGTGCTTTGAATAGCTCTTGTTATTTATTTGATTTTATTTTTACCATCACAAATTACTCTATTCAACAGGTCAGGCTGTTACAATACTGTCCATCTTCTAAACACCATTCTAACATAGTACGTCACATCAAAAGAATAATTCAGGTTACCATTTTCTGTGAGAAACACAGTCCTCATCGGTTTCCTTGCGAAAGCTAGCAAACATGTGGATTGAGAGGCCAGTTGAAATCAGACAATGAGGTTCACTATATAGCAAATAAAGACAGACAAATGTGGTGTTCATTGTGTGTTAGTTCATGATTCACAAATATTGTGTGACGTAAGACAGCAGCAGTTTGTGAATTCAGTTGACATCGATTTGTTCTGGGTGGGACGCTTGCATTTTCGAAGGCAGAAGTCTTGTCATTTCCAACTTGCCAGATTCTCAAAACGCAGCAGATGACATCTTCTATAGCCAGTATGTCCTCCATAAACGAGGTCAATTGAAGACCACCACGAGGCTGACACATATCGAGCGCCGAGTCAGTCTGGCGGCTCAGCGTCCTGTGGGATATTTTATGTAACCGTGGCAGCGGATCAATAAAGCGCTTGTCAATGATCCTGCAAGTTCCACGCAGCCGACTGAGGGATCGTGCACAGGTGAACGGTCTCAGTTCAGAGTAGTGTCCACGCACCTTCTCTTTCATGTTACTGTCTCATCAACAGTTCGCCAGAGAGCTTTCAAATTTTCTATACTGTAGTACTGACTGTCGGTTCTTACTCTCAGTTTGATAAAGTCTCTTGCAATTAAATTATTAAATCTATATGTCCTTCCAATTTCTATACCGCGTATCCTTTTCAGTGTCACGTTTTAGCTGGAGTCCGATTAGGCAGACTACACTGAACTAGTCACAAATCAATTTCAGGGCACATCTAGAGAAAGACAACCATTCACACTCACATTAATTTTTAAAGTCATTCAATTTGAAAGTCATTTTCATGAGACAGTAGATGTTGTCTGTTCTAGAGCTTTGGAGGAGGGATTTGGCCTAATATTTTCCAAGACTACAGTGCCCTGAGTTTGCTGTTTACTGAAAGCATAGCCGTTCCCGGAAAATAGGGGTTGCCATTCGGAGAGACTGTAGTTCTTGTCACAGTGTTGGGAACATGTGGACACTCAGGGCTCTATTTTGGTAGATAGCACATGCGGAAATGCTGGTGTATCCTGATTTTCATGCAGGCGCAGGCCTTGCTGTGCTGAATTGGGAATTAAGATGACCATTCTTCACCAAGCTGAACGTTCTGGCATTGTGAGTGTGTTTTTTCACATGAACTGGCAATTTGGTGGCAGAAAGTTGTCTACACTAAACGTCTTTTAAGTGTGGTGCAGTAGGTAGACTGCTGTACGATCGAAATATTGGTGAGACAGATTTTGAGCTCCCCTATGAACTATTATTATTATTATTATTATTATTATTACTATTATTATTATTACCATGTCGTTTTTATATCCTCCCACTGGCCGACACACAGCTATGGAGGGGTTGGTGCATGAACAGTCTGTGGTGGGGATAGATAAATGAGTTCCGCAGACATATTTAAGTCAGCTCATTCTGCTTTTAATGAGGGTACCCGCTTACCTGAGCTTAGCTTATCCGTTGCCACACCAGTCAAGAGCAGTGACAGTGCTCAATGCCCGATGTGAATGTACCACATTTAAAGACACTGTGAGGAGCTTCTTTGATTGACGGTGAATGGAGTCAGCTGTGTTCACGCCCACAACAGCGCAAACCACCCTTTTTAAATGCGGCAGCTTGCAGGCGTCTGGGAAATTACCAAGACCAGGTCTAACCCGCCTCCGCACAGACTTAATGCACGCGGCGTCGACCTTGTGCCAGTCACGAAAATATAGCCCATAATCTTGGCTTCACTGTTGAATCCCTCAACACTAGCATGACGGAAGTCATGTAACCTAATACAAAATGTGAAGGCGACATGTGGCACTGGATCCAATCTTACATCATACTGCATCCAGACTGTTAGGATTCCTGTCATTCACTTAGCATTGTGTTTCATTCCATTATTATTCAAATGACATTCCTAACGGGACTCTCCAGTAACAAAAAAAAAAAAAAAAAAGACTCACGTATTATGTTGAGTGGTGTTATGGTGCTTTTTGGTCACATATTACAGCTGTAAACTATTTTGCAACAGGAGGTGGGTGTATAATCGGTTCAAGTTGGTCCTTGCCATTAAAAGGTCATTTCAGAAACAAACTGCCTAAAAAAAAAAGAGGGCTTGTGGTCTTTACCCTAAAGGCTTTGCATTCTTTTAGTGCAGCCCCCTGTCCTCCGTTTGACGTCACACATGGCCAGGGGTCCACTCTAAAATAGCTCTCACGGCTAAGTTAGGAAACTAAGAGAGGCATGTTTAAAACAGCAAACAATGTGGCCGGCTGTAATTCTTTCTTCACATGCACAGAGGGTTGTTTCAAAGCTTGCACCAGCTTGAGTCAGCAAGATTTCTTTTCTCCAATGCACCCGAGGCTTTGCATGGTTGGATCACATGAAATGTTATCAAAGAGATCGGAGCAGTTTCTGCTCTTGTCCTCTGTTGACTCATGTGCACCGGAGACTGCTCAAACTGCGTGAGTGATTTTAATTTCATCTCAACTAGCACTCCCAGTATATAAATCCAGTAGCTGTTGTCATTGGCTATCATCAAAACTTGTCAATTTCTACATCCAAGGTCAATTTCCATCTGTTTACTGTCTTCCCAATGGCCTCAAATCCCTCCAGGAATTTGCTCTTGAGGTCTCGGAATTTTGTACTTCTCAAGTAAATTGATTTCTCTCTCGATTTTACTTTTAATAGCATCATACTTGAAACAAATGTGTCCCTGAGTACAGGAAGAGGAAATATAAATCAACAATTTATGTGCAATATGTAGTCCTTCTTTTAATTTATTCAATCGCTTGTAGTCTTGCGACCTAATTCACCAAGCCTTCAAATGGCCTTTTCCTGTTGAGCCTCCTCTTGTTTGCAGTATTGCCGGAAAAAAAATGGATGTAGACATTTTTACAAGGTATCAACTCACATCTCTTTAGACTCCAAGTGATTTGCCCGTTTTGCCTTGCTGCAGGTTGTGGCACTACTAGGTGTGGTCAGTGGAACGCTGTACGGTTCGAGTCCATTGGTGAAGTTACACGTTGAGGTTACTCACATTAAATGTTTGCAGACATGACTTGAAGTGTCAAGGAAAGTCCACCAGACTTACCAACAATACTAGCATATGCATTTCCACTTAAAGGCAATTAGACTTCTTTGTGGATTAAGACTTGACCTTGTATCCAAAATGGTTCTTCAGTTCATATTCCTGAGATTTCATTCTCTGGAGTGGTTGGCAACTACAAGGGGGTCACATGTGAGTCATTTGTTCCTAAAATGTGTCTGACCAGCGATTGGCTTAAAAAACGAAGCGGTTACTAAAAGTTGTTGCTGTAAAGTGCCACTTGACTGTGACATTGATTATAAAACTAGATCTCCTTCATCATTGCTAATTACCATTGGATTAATGTTGAGGGTAACACCTATTACACATCTTTTTCTCAGTGGTGGAGAAAGTGCTTCAATGTGTGTGTCCCCATAATCATTCGGCACAATCGAAATGACCTGGAGAAGCCTTGCTAAGCACACTTTCCCAGATTAGCTGATAGCTATAGTACAGCCTCTGATACTTCTTCGATTACTCCTTTATATTAGCCTGCCGACTCCATGTCCCGTTGCACCAGGCTGCCGCTCACTGAATAGCCCGGGTACTACATAAGTGACCTGACTTGACTTTAATTCACTCTGTCCCTTCCCCTACAGAGGCAAATGAGCCATGGTCCACAGTTGTGAAATGTTTAGAGATTCTTCTTTGATAACGTTTTTCTATACGGCACCACAATGTTGGTACCTCTTTCGAAACAAAGAAGTCCCGTTGCCGCAGACTCAGTCCTTCAAGAACATGCCTCATGCCCTGGTAAAAAAAAAAAATTTTTTTAGTCACCATTGGACCCCAAAAAAATTGCATTGTTTACTTACCAGTTGAATTGGCATATATCTTAAATCCTAAATGTTGTGTGAAGGAGTGACTGGTAACCCAGGTAATGATTGCTTAAACGTGTCAATGACAGGAAAAAAAAAAAACAGCCATGCATATTAAAGCCTCTTGAAAGTCAGACTGTGTGGGAAGGTGGAACTTAAACAGCAATGCAAGATGCAGTGAAACAAACTAAGACTGACTGGATTGAATGCCTGGTAATTTTATCCAACGTACTAACTTGGTTGTCCTTGGTTTTGTATTGATTGTCGTTATATCTAATGTACTTGTATTCTCTTCACAGATGACACATCATCTAAAGAAATCAGCAGGGTATGTTTTGCCTCACTGTGAACAGATGTACTGTATATTTTCATATATTGAATGTACAGTGTGTGACAATAAGCAAATACTTTGCAGGTTTTGTGTGCGTTCTCAGATTCTGGATTCTCTATCTGTTGTTAAATTGCAATTCATTACCCTGTTAAAAGGCATACCGGTATGTTTATTGGCACAGACATAGCTGTCACCCGTGTAGACTGGACAGTTGGAAAAATTTTCCCTGTGCTGCCATACCGAGCTTGCACCTTATTCTGACGCCTCTTTGCCCACTGGAATCACTATCTCAGTCCACTTAGTGGGGTGCATGACCTCAATGAAAAGGACTTACAAGCCATATACGCAGAAAAAAATGAGGGTCCCTCAACCTTTCTGTGCGTCATCCATACGTCTGTGCAAACAGGATGTGGGCGGGTCGAATGGATCCCTAGAGGGAGGCTTTCTAGTGCGCCACTCTCCCTGCCGCGCCCCCATCCTCACCCTCCCTGCAGGCGCAGACATGACAGGTCTTTGGCCCTGTGCTAGCAGGAGGTCTGCCTGTTACATAAGCACACTTTTAAGATGAATGTGAGCATCAAAGCTCCAGAGCTCTTTCATCAGAGCTGTGAGGCTTCGATGGCCTCCTCTCGGGATACAGGCGAGGTGATCCCTCAACTAGAATGCAGCGATGAGGGAGCAGGTTAAGGGTGAGGAGACACATAATGTTGTGATGACAAGGTTCTCCTTTAGTGAATCGTGGGACGAGCCTACTTCATTCAACAAAAAAATCCGCAAAATGGAGCTTGCGGTTATTTATTTATTTTTTTTATACATTTCATTACCGTTCACTCGAGATGGATGGTATGGAAAGGATTTTTTTTTTTTGTGTTTGTGTCCAGCAGTACCAGGATGCGAACATGCAGGGCGTGGTGTATGAACTCAACAGCTACATGGAGCAGCGCTTGGACACTGGAGGAGACAACAAGCTGTTGCTCTATGAACTCTGCAACATCATTAAAACAGGTACAAGGTGGTTGGAAGGTTATTCATCTGCTTGCATTAAAAAAATGTCAACTTTTACTATTGTTTCCACACCTCTAATAGGCAGTGCGTCATCCACTTGAGAGAAATTAACGGTTCCTTTGGATACTTTCCCATCAAGAAAAAAGAATAGTAGTAACTTTAAATAGCTCAGCAATTACTCAGACAGACAAAGTTAAATATGGAGGCTGTTTTCATTCTGTTGCCCACCTAAACAGCCGCACAAAAGCACGTACACAAGTTTTCGCAGTTATTAAATTGCAGTAAGTGAGTTGCCTATTCAGCATTCAGGCTGATCGGATGTTACGAGGCGATGGTGTCTTTTCTGCTCCAGTACTGACAGTCTTAAATTCCAATTTTGGAGACAACATTACCTGCGATTGGCTGCCAACCAGGCTTGAGTGTATCCTGCCTGTCGCACAAAGTCAGCTGGAATAGGCTTCAGCTCACCAGCGACCCAAATGAAGTCAAGTGTTATCAAAAAATGGATGAATGGATGGGTGATAACCACAATATAAGGATCTATCCGAGTGACACTTATCAACTTCACCATTCTTGATACCGGTAGTCCATGCACTGACCTGTTCTATTTCCACTCTTTTATCTGATCATTGGTGTCTTCTTGTTCCTGCAGCAACAAAAGCTGATGGATTTGCACTTTACTTTTTGGGAGAATGCAACAATGTAAGTATGAAGCAATTAATCTGATGCAATTTCTCAGCAAGTGTAGTTTGGTGTTTGAGATTTTCTTCACACGTTGTCTTTTCTTTCCGTTGCTTCCAAACAGAGTTTATGTCTATTTACTCCAACAAGGACCAAGGATGGTCCCCCAAGCCTTGTCCCCTCTGGCCCCATCGCATTCGGGACAACCATTGCAGCTCATGTTGCCAAGACTCGCAAAACACTTTTAGTAGAAGACATCATGGGGGTAAGGTTGTTGTCTGCCAACCCATAAAATTAGAGAGAATTTAGTATGAAAGGCGTAAGAACAAATGAGGCGCAATGTTATTATTAGATCTGGATCCTTTTCCAGCAGTACCCACGGCCTTCTGTTAACACACTGTACAAACCATTATAAAAACTACATAAAAAATATTTTTGCCAAGACTTTCAAGTGGTTAAATCATGGGCTTAAAGTTTCCTAATACTGTCTCAATGGGCCATAGTGAGTTAAGAACTCTTTATTCAATGACCTTCATTGTTCTGTGTCTTCAGGACGAGCGCTTCCCAGATGGCACAGGGCAGGACTCAGGGATCCGTGTTCATTCTGTCTTGTGCCTCCCCATCCTTACTGCCATCGGGGACCTCATCGCCATACTGGAGCTGCGTCGGCACTGGGGAAAGGAGCCGTTTAACCTCAGCCACCAAGAAGTCAGTTCCACCTATAAAAAAAAAAAAAAACAAAACATGTCAGATTGGAAAGATAGAACCAAGCCACGGTGTGCACCCTAATCTGAATTCAACTCTAGAAGGTGGCATTTGGATTTGTTTTTTTTTTTATGTTACGTGACTTTCTATGAAACAAATACATGATGTACAATGCCAAGCGTAGACTAAAAACATGAGCTCTGTGCAGCTTTTCCAAGAAACTATTGCGTTTCACCAAATGTATTGATTACACTGGGCAAGAGCAAATTTTCCCTGAATGTACTCTTGTTTCTGATTTAAAAAAAAAAAAAAAAATTTTTTCCTCGCATATCAGGTTTTTAAGATCTTTTCATTTTTTGGTTTAAAGTTTGAACTCTAAAAGATTTTGCGATACAGATTTTACCAAGGATTGTATTTTATAGGAATGATGTTTCAGAAAATAATTACACTTGTTGCCTAATTCATAAATATGACTAAATATATTAATATATTCCATCTTATTATATTATTCTTATTATCATACTATTATTATAAAATTTAGATTCAAAAACATCGAGAAAATGACTTGCATCTATGATTTAAAAATGTAAAACTGTGTTGACAAGTGTTATTTAAGTCCATCTTTTCCAATACTTTTACGGGTACTCACCTAAAATATATAATACAAATAAATACATGTGATATAAAATGTGTGTGTGTGTGTGTGTATATATATGAAGTTTGACTTTTCTTTTTCAGGTTGCAACAGCAAACTTAGCCTGGGCGTCAGTTGCCATTCATCAAGTACAGGTGAGCAAATGTCCACAGGGACCTGTGTACACTGTTGCAAATGCTGTACACTCCAATGTACTTGACTTGTTTGGGAATAAGGTGAATGCTGACATGCCCAGTTGTAATGATGTTAGCGCCATTGTTTGTTCTGGTTCTGCACTGCTGTTTTTAATAGAGAAATCCACTGTGTACTTGAAGGGGTTGCGACCGGGCCCTGTCCAATCAGCTAAGCTGTAGATTCAACAAACAGGTCTCCGGGGACGTCATTATAGCCTCGGCACTGTTTTTATGTGAAGTCATAGCATAACACCTAAGAGAAGTAGTGTCCCACTGCAGGACTGGCCACAGTGGGCCTCTGAACCTCTGTGTGCTGCATAGGACTGCAGCGCACGGCACTCTTGGGCTGGGTGCTTGCTGGAAAACACTCTCGCTAGACAGACATGTTGGCCTGTTTGCAGTACAAGCAGGATGCTGCAAGTGTACTATGGGAAATGCGTGAGTTCACATATGACCTGACCTACTTCTTATTCTTCTTCTTCAAGGTGTGCCGGGGTCTCGCCAAACAGACTGAGCTCAATGACTTCCTACTAGATGTGTCAAAGTAAGAGTCGCTCCTGTTTTGACAGCACTATCCAGTAATTTAGCTTCAGCATTAGCACAAGCTAAAAGTGCTTTCTCCCTGGGGGGAAAAAAATGTTTACGTTTATGTCTTGAATGTGTTGTCAAACATTTCAATGTATCATTCTTCTCTTCTCACAGAACATACTTTGATAATATTGTGGCAATAGATTCTCTACTTGAACACATTATGGTAAGTGGGATTTTTGTTTACTTCACAATTTGGTATTTTTAGCTTACATTTTTCATTATTGGTCAGTCCACATGCTCGTGCGTGTTATTTATTTATTTTTTTTTACAAATTATTGGCCAATCGAAACTGCTGAAAATGGCTTTGATGAAGAAATGTTAATGGTTGAACAAACAGTGGGAGTCTCCTGAGAAGTGATGATTTTGGAAAACGGAAAGATTCCACCTGACGGCAGCAATATCCATCATCATGTCATGTCGAGTTGGTCTAATGGCTCGCTTTGCTTTCTTTGCAGATATATGCAAAAAACCTGGTGAATGCCGACAGGTGTGCACTCTTCCAGGTAGATCAAAACAACAAAGAACTGTATTCTGACCTGTTCGATATTGGTGAGGAGAGAGAAGGCAAGCCAGTCTTTAGGAAAACCAAAGAAATTAGGTGTGTAAAGTCAACTTTCTGCCACCTTCAGCAACAAAGTCGAGGTTGTCTATTACATCTTGGTTTTGACGAGGAATTTGTGAATGGTGTATTTGAGCTTCAACATATTCATGATTCTTTGCCTGTTTGTGTTTGTATTATCAATCGGATAATGAATTGTCATGTTCATGGGCTGCTCCCCTTTCATACGTCCATGCAGGTTTTCTATAGAGAAAGGAATAGCTGGTCAAGTGGCTCGGACAGGGGAAGTCTTAAATATCCCAGATGCCTATGCAGACCCGCGGTTTAACCGGTACGCACCCTAATCACTTGGCTGGACTTCATTTTCATGAAAAACGTCAACCCTTTCAACACACCGTCAACCTGTGGGCTAAACTGACTTTGTGATATGATTGGCTCTTATTTGACAGAGAGGTGGACCTCAAAACAGGTTACACCACGCGGAACATCCTGTGCATGCCCATCGTGAGCAGGGGGACTGTTATTGGAGTGGTGCAGATGGTGAATAAGTTAAGCGGTAGTGCCTTCACTAAAACAGATGAGAACAACTTCAAGATGTTTGCTGTCTTCTGTGCCCTGGCCTTACACTGTGCAAATGTGAGTCAGTGAACAAATACGCTCATTTACAACAACAGCACATTATCTATAAAACGTTCACTTACAGAAAACAGTCATGATGAGGAGACATGACTCCCATGTGGGACTGTTTATTTGTATTAGACTGTGATTTGAATGAGTGAGTTAAGATGCTCTTTGGTCTAGACTGTATGGACAAAAGCGTCGCTACACCTGTTTCGTTATACCAGCGGGATGATAAAATGGAGTCAGCTGGAACATTTTTCTGGGAAGCCTTCTGGAGTGTGTGGAAGGTTTTGCTCATTTGGCCACATGATCTCAAACATTATCAAAGTCGTCTAACTATGCCTTTAGGTACCATGCTGGAACAGTCACATTAAAACTGACTCATTCGAAATGTGTTGCTATGATTCTGGAAGAAGAAAAGGGTTTAGCCCAAATACTGATTAATCTCAATACTTTTTTGCAAGTACTGTAAATTGGATTTGTCAGGAAGCTTGTGCCAATAGCCTTTTTCAGATGATTGTATTTTCATCATTATACTTTGCTGGTTGATGTTGCTCGTGCTGAGTGTCTTTCTTAAAAAAACGTTTCTGTGACTTTCCCGTATGTGTCTTGTGTCTAGATGTACCATCGAATTCGCCACTCTGAATGCATTTACAGAGTGACAATGGAAAAACTGTCTTACCACAGCATCTGCACCTCAGAAGAATGGAAAACACTCACTCAGCTCAACCTTCCCACTCTCATTTATAAAGAGATCGAAATGTGAGTCTTGCAATGCTTTATGGGCTTCACCTCATGACGCCTGCACAAATGTATTAGTCATATACAACATCTGTCGTACCATGTTTTTTTCACCTTATACTTGTTGGGATTTTTTTCAATAAAAACACACTTTGAGAAACAAACAAAAATGTATTTATTCCAAGCGAAAATGCATTGGACAAAATCATCATTAAAACCCCCAAAGGTTTTCCAAAAACAAACACTGATAAGCATTACAGTAAATGTAGCAATTGTGTGTATCCGTTTACTACATAACCAAGACACAGGCGGAACCGGTAGTCTCTACTCGCTCAACTTGGAAATCCCCCAACTCTCCACATCTCCAAAACACAAACTAGTATCGTTTCAGTGCTTTGAGACCGTTTAGGAGCCCGAAATACTTGAGTATGTCACAACCAAAACAATTACAGTAATCCCTCGTTTATCGCGGTTAATGGGGGACCAAAACCACCCGCGATAAACGAAAATCAGCGAAGTAGCGTCCAGTTAACATAAACAGGTAAAAAAAAAAAAACATTTTTTTTTTTTAAGTCCGCAAACGGTCCGCAAGAAGCTGCAAAACAACAGCGAGTCACATAGAGCAACGTATACAGTACTGTACTCCATGTATATTTAAAAAAAAAAAAAATTTAAACCCGCGATGCATTGAACCCGCGATAAAAGAACCGCGAAGTAGCGAGGGATCACCGTACAGGGATGCTGTTTGGTTTGTGCTTTTAACATTTCTTGGGAAAATTGTACAATAGAGCAAGCAGGACCGTTTAACAGACCGGCCCAGTAAAATTCACTCCTCTTCCTCGTCCAGGTTTCACTTTGACATCAATCCCTTTGAGGAGATCTGGCCTGCAGTTTTCATCTACATGGTTCACAGCTCCTGTGGAAAGACCAGGTAAGGGTACTGCAGAGCTGTTAAGGTGGCAGTCTCTGATTAGAAGGTCATTTTATATTTGTTCATCCCTTTTTTCACTTGGTGTAGCTTTGAGCTGGAGAAGCTTTGTCGATTCACCATGTCTGTACGTAAGAACTACCGGCGTGTGCCCTACCACAACTGGAAGCACGCCGTGACCGTGGCCCACTGTATGTATGCCATCCTACAGAAGAGCCCTGGGACCTTCACGGAGCTAGAGGTCCGCTGCTCATTGGGTCACCTTTTAATAGAAACAACGATGAATAAAATAACATGATATGAGTATGTAGTGTGTGACTGCAAAAATGATTTTTTTTTTCCTTTTACAGAAGAAGGGACTCTTGATAGCCTGTCTGTGTCATGATCTGGACCATCGAGGATACAGCAACACTTATCTGCAGAAGTTTGACCACCCTCTGGCTGCTCTCTACTCCACCTCCACAATGGAGCAGCATCACTTCTCTCAGACTGTCTCCATTTTGCAGGTAGAGCTCCACTATGCAATACCAACTTTATGTCTCCGGTCGGAATTTCTACAGTTCCAGTGGCACAGCTCAGGGGCCGCTGTATGGGCGGTTCTGGAAATCCGACCTTATAAGTGGTGCTCTCCATCATACAAGGCAGTACAGTTGCAATTGCCGATTAGATTTTTCAACAGCAAAATATAAAATAATAGTGATGGAAGATGCTGACCTAAAAATCATCATCATTGTAGGTACGCGTAGAACAGTGGTCCTCAACCACCGGGCTGCAGGCCGCACAGATAAAAGGATAAAAAAAACTTGCAGTGATTCTGGTTTGTTCATTGTCTGAGGCTGAAAAAATATTTTATTTTGAAAAGTGAACGGATTCCCTCCGTTACAAGTGTCTATGACGGACGCTTGACGTGTGAAGATGCTATGATAATTGTCTTGGAGCACCTAACACTAACATTGAACACACAAGCTGGCAAAATGATTAAAAAACAGCTTCGCACCTCATGCGGTGAGAGGCTCTTCATTTAGCATTATTGTAGGTTATGTTTTCAGGCACTTTATATTTGTTTCGTGGTGCCTTAAGTTGGTGCATTTCAGGAAGATGCTGCTAATATCGTTACATAAACATGTGGCTTCACATGTATTGTTGTAGTTCCAAAATCCCCTAGTTTTGTGTTGCTCTTACCATTCATGATGCACTTTCTATTTGTTCTCAATGGTGTCTGTTGCATGTTTAAGAGTTACCACAGTCACCATATAAAACTGTTGTTGTTAGCCTTGTTATGGTGCTGGTGCTGCTTGTAAAGGACCATAACAATTCACAGAGGATTCACCTTCACAGATGATTCAATGCGGCGTCACCGAACAATGATTCTGCAAACGCATACAGGTGTACCACAGCATGGGCAAACAGCCTCAAGGGCACTTTTGTTTTCGAGAAGCACTTGGATAAATGGTTAACAGATCCGCGATGGTTGAAAATCTTGTTAATCTCTTGTAGTCTAGCTGAAGTGAACGCCTCATAAGTGGAGCCTTTGCTTTTTTATTGATCTCTTTGTTTCTCATAGCTGGAAGGGCACAATATTTTCTCCAACCTGAATTCCAGCGAGTATGAGCAGGTGCTAGAGATCATCCGAAAGGCCATCATCGCCACCGACCTGGCCCTTTACTTCAATAACCACCAGCAACTGTCAGAGCTTCTCACCTCAGGTGATCTGGACTTCAACAACCACTCACACAGGTGAGACTACACCCGGGGAGGCTTGAAAACGTTGAGGATTTGAAGTTGTAATGTTTTGTATCCAACGTCCGAAGAATGCTCACACACCTTTTTTAAGCCAGTGCTTTGTTTATCTATTTAATGACTGACTGACCATAATGCAGTAGTTTATTTACATTACATGCAAATCGCCGGAATATATTGGCATACAAGCAGCATGGTGAAAAAAATGCTTATCACATCTGGCTCACAGTCACACGATCTTGGTTTGAACTGACATCGGAACATCTCTGTGTGTTATGCTCATGCTCGCGTGGGTGTTCTCTGGGAATTCATTTTTCTCCCACATCCCCAACATAAGCTGCTACGGTTAAGTAAAGACGACATTTCTCATAGCTGTCAAGATATAACATTCTGTTACAATGTTATATACCGGTACTTCCCTTTCATGAAATGAAATTGTAACTTTTTTTAATCATTTTGTGAATCTCTTGAACAAAGGAAAAAAAAGGCCTCATAGCAATTTTCATATGATTCTTTGCCTAAAGAGTGAGAGCTATAATGTGCAATCATCTTGATTTAGGAAATTTCTATTAACCTATATTACTGGCTTTTAATGTTTTTCTTTTACTATAATACACAATGAGTCGAGTTACACACAGACTCGCGAGCAGGAATTGCGCTACCCAGGGCTAGCGGAGGCTATGGAGCCGTCAGAAATCTGTGTAGGCCCAGTTAAGCAATAACATTTTATTTGATGTTGTAAAATATGTTTATACATTATTTTCTCAGCTCCTCTATGTATCAGTCAAGCCCCCATTTAGCCCCGGGAGAGAAAAAAAAATGCTGCAGCTGTCCCTGAACACTAGTGAACAGTATATTAGCACTTAAGGCGATAACGTAGCTTTGCTCTCCTCCAGGGACCGTGTGATTGGTCTGATGATGACAGCATGTGACCTGTGTTCTGTAACTAAGCAGTGGCAGATCACACGACTCACAGCCAACGACATCTATGCTGAATTCTGGGCCGAGGTACAACATCAGTCAAGTTTAGAATCATGTGCTTCGGTTGCAAGAGTTTCCATACGTGGGATTTGCTATTTTAGAAACGTATGCCATCTCTACTTCGTTTATGCTTTGCCACAGGGAGATGAGATGAAGAAGATCGGGATGCAGCCCATCTCAATGATGGATCGAGACAAGAAGGATGAAGTCCCCCAAGGCCAAGTAAGACCACGAGTTTCACTCACTGTACAGATTCCATCGCTTTATAGTTAGTATCTTATAATCTTGTCTTTTGAATGGACATTTAAAATTCCGTTGCATCCAGAGGGGTAATTGTATCCCACCAGCAAATAATGCCTATGCAGTATTTTCATACTGTTCATTTGCAGAACACGCATCACGGTCGTATTTCAAATATTGTACGTTGCCATATACTATGTTTATAAGAGAACTTGAGATATGCACATTCGCCCCAAAAAATCTCCTACAATCCAGATTTCTTTTTTATTCTATTGCGCTCAAAATTATATAGATTTAGTTTCATTGCACTTAACTGTTTAGCACAACTGTCATCCACTTTTGTATTGGAATGCGTGAGAAATTTACAAGATGTCCCTGTGTGATACATTGTAGCCATCTATGACTATGTATTTCTTGTTACTGTATCATCATTTGCAAATTTGTTGAAGTGAAGAAACCACCCGTAGAAGTCATAAATAGTAACTGTTCGGGACAGATGAGATGATACTGCAATATGCTTACAATATAACTTTTATTTGTTGATAAATCCAGTGTAGGTTTTTTTTCATTAACCTTGAAAGTGCCATATGGACAGGCAACATTTTTCACAGCTGCCTCAAAGTCCGGTATACTTTTAATCTGTGTAATAATTTCTAATTATTCTCCATTTGTAGGTGGGATTCTACAACGCTGTAGCAATTCCATGTTATACGACACTAGCAGACCTTTTCCCTCCATCCAGTCCACTTCTAAAAGCGTGCAGGTAAGGATCCTGTCAGAAACGTATTCTCACAGCCTGTAAAGTGATTTAGATGTCGTAGATGTGACTGTGAATGGTTGTTTGACTATATGTACCCCGTGATTGGCTGCTGGCCAGTTTGGGGTATACCAAAGTCAGCATGGAACAGAATGAGGAAATAGTGGAAAAGAAAACGGATGGCTTGAGTTAACCTTTTCAGGGACAGCGGTTACGACAGGGGACAGCTTATCATGTTATCAGGTTACAGGGTGCATGAAAGGGTTGATTTCAATACGGGATGGTTAAGTATGACTCTAAAGTAGGTGCGGTGTGTGTTGCAGGGAGAACTTGAGCCAATGGGAGAAGATAGCGCACGGTGAGGTGGAGGATGTGGTTCCTAGCCGGCCTTCTGATTCAGGACCTGTCAAGGTGGACAACTGACTACCAAAGGGTTGACTGCTTGTCATAACGGGTTCAACCTGAACTTTGCCACACTTATGAAGCTTTTTTTAAGAGGGGAGAGGAGCAGGAGCAGGAGCTGGATCAGCGAAAAGGCGCCTTGACTTAACAAAAAACACAAGTTACCTCAATGGGTGACGGAGGTGTCAATGCTGATGGTTTTACTGATCCCAGAGACTGACTGACAGCTAACGGGAGGAACTGAAACCCATCACCCTACATCTACTCCGTTTGGGAATTTCTTTTTGAAAATGGATTTGTGCCATTTTGGTTGTTTATTTGGCTTTGTTTATGTCATTTGTTATTGGGTTTTTTTTAATTGTTATTGTTCCTATTATTATTGTTATTATAATTATTATTTGAGTTGATTCTTTGCGGTCTTGTATTTGAGAGGCCTTACACTGAACCTTTCACAGGAAGGTGATGTGAAACCTTGTTGTTTAGGTTGATATCTTTTTAAAATGGTACTGTTTGCCTTCTGCGGTAAATGAGTCACTACTACTTCAGCAAGGTATTCAGAGACAGAAGGAATGTGTAGTACATTGAACATGCATGCTATAATAATGCCACCTTAGAGATGAGAGGGGGTGTCAGAATGTTTTTCTTTCTTAACTTTTGAGCAAAAATCCTTTGCAGTACTTGAATAAAGACACACAACCTGTTTAAACACAAAGATGGCAGAAATCCCACACGATATATTTTGCGCGAAAAAAAGGTTCAACTGCGACCACGAGAGGATGGGGATTTCTGTGTGTCAACACTGTCACAAAAGTCACAACGTGCGGCCCTGAAGTCGATCCCCCGTCACAGCACTGCCCCCAGGCCATCGTTAGCACTTGAAACCTTCGGCAAGCAGTCACGTATGTTTAAGACAGCTTGTAAATTTTACGTGGGATCTCCACACGTAAAAGCAGAAGACATGATCGTTGGAAATGAGACTTGAGCACTACTCCGTGTCGTCAGTGTCAAATCTGATAAGCTGCATGTAACTCTGGGACTGTTCCGCAAGATTGTTGCTCGACTTTTTGCAGGTGTGTTTAACGTTTCAGCATCCGCTCGTTCTCCTGCAAATGATTTTCCAAGATCTTCCTGATTACATTTTCTCGATCTGTTCCAAATGGTCATTCCAGTGGACGTGGTCCCTCTAATAATTTGATTCACGAATGCTAAGGTGGCCCCAATAGTGTGAATGTACACTTGGTTCATTTACAGTGCATATATAAAAAGTCTGTACGCCACTCTTCAAATGCCAGGTTGAAAAGACGTCATTTCAAAATTTTCCACCGCTAATGTGACCTACAAACTGTACAATTCCAGTGGGCTGGGGGAAAAAAAAATCTAATAAAATCTTTTGTACTGGGGAATTAAAAATAAACAACTGAGATAGTCTGGTTGTGTAAGTGTGTACACCCTGGCATTTCGACAGGGGTGTGTAGACTTTTCTATCCAACGTGTGTTCTGTTGATCCCCTGAATGTGGCATGTGGATGGGTGTGTTCTGTCAAACTGTTCAAAATTGCTTCCAGTAAGTTCCAATCAAGAGCAACACTTAGCATGCACTTAGACTGAAGTGAGATGTAATTTGCATATAAAGTACAGTAATAGGTGTGTACTGTGTGCATTCTAGAATCAATATTTGCTCTAATGGTGCTAAACTGAATGGCAGTTCATGCACTTTCTGAATGTGTGTGCGTGTCCGTGTGTGTGTGTGTGTGTGTGTGTGTGTGTGTGTGTGTGTGTGTGTGTGTGTGTGTGTGTGTGTGTGTGTGCAAGAGTCTATTTACTATTTACATTCACCCTATATGGTTGAGAACACGGTGAAGTCCACAACACTGCACTGTTCCTACTTTTCAGCACCAGTTATATCATTATCTGCACTATGTTCAGCATATCTTTATCATTATTCTTGATGATGATGATGATGATTATTATTCATATTATTGCTATTATACCTATTATTTTCTTAATTAGAATGAAATTTAAATTAACTTATATTTTTTATACAAAGAAAAATAATGTTGGCCTTTTTTGTTGATGACAAACAAAATGGTCCATACATGTTACTGTTACCCACAATAATTGAGGAAGTTGTAATGATGTAATTATAAGAGCAGTAGCCAAAATGACTTTTATTAAATACCTGAAAAATACCACACTGTGTTGGGTCATTTTTTTCCCGTGAGTCATAATTAACATTTCTCCATTTCAGATATTTCACGACAAATGTCATTCAAGGTTGACATTTATGGACATATGTAAATGATTGTCACTCATTTTCGTGCATTGCATCTTTGTTCGCTGTAGCATGGGTGTCAAATTAACATTTTAATTTCCTGTTCAATAATAGAAGGTCACTGTACGTATCATCAACAGTACAATCATTGTTGCAAGACTTTGAATGCAAAACAAGAACTCTACTTGTTTCTGTGACATATATTTCTATATATATTTCCACATATATATATATATATATATATATATATATATATATATAATGTGTGTTTTTATGTGAACATGTTTTTCTAACATGTCATGAAATTCATTTTATTAAAAAAAAAAAATAAATAAACATCTTCTGTGCCTTAAACATATTCACACCATTGTAATGTTCATTAAATGCTGTGCATGTGTGTCATTGTCAGGATTTGAAGAAAGTGTCAGAGCAGACAGAGCTGCTCCAACAGAGATCGCCTGGTGGTGTTCACTGACGTCTTTGATGATGTGTGTGATGGCTCATCTGTATTTGGATGCATCCTAAGGGAAATTAAGCTTGTTCCATTTCCTCTGTACCCATCGGCTGATTTTTTTTTTTTTTTTTTTTTTTTTTTTTAGCATGTGCCATCACTTGTTTCAGACGGGACGAAAAGTCCCTGGAGTGTTGCAAAAGTCCGGGCAAAAGTGGCACCAACAGCAGCCCTGGTGTGTCAGAGAGCAGGGTCAACAGTGGACTACAACTCCATTGGTGCTTATTCAAAAGATGGCGTTACACACACGGAAAGTTGTATTATATTATATTATTATATTATGCACTGCATTAAACACATAATTTTAAAAAATTGAGAAAAAAATGTGAAGACATAAACTGTTTTTATAAAGTGCAATTACAGTACATGCTGCTGTATCGTGTGTTATATGGGTGCCTTTCAGGGGCCTGACCTTGTGAGTGACATCAGAAGGTGGATTTGGTTGGGTCAGTTCGACTACGTGTGAGCATTTGGCCAAGAGTTGTGGCTGACAACAGCTCCTTTCGAGTGTTCTCATTTTGTACTTGTGTATTGCACTTTTTACCCTGTTCAATAAACGGCTGAAAGTGCATCTGCAACTATGGCTCTCCTTGCTCATAAGTGAAGGCATTCCATCACCTTTTTTTTCACTCAACTCGAGTGGTGACGTACTTGAAGTTCGCTCCAAACAGCAAACATGACTCTTCAGACTCCAATAGCTTCAAATACCTGCTTGCTCCTCATCAGCTGTTTTTAACCACTGCTTTCTTAATACCGGGCATCTGCATTCCGTTAACATGAGTAGCAGAAGCTATCTACAAAAATAACAGGAATCTTACTTTCAAACTTATGCGCCTCAACAGAAGACATTTTTTTAAATATTATTTTTAAATGTTAAGCCCTAATGCCCATAGTTCATTACAAGGCTTTTTTGGCTGATTGTCTGGGAAAAATGAAATGGTTGGTGGCCATTTTGTCGAGAGTTGCCAATTATGGCTCTTTGGTCGAAAAGGGCTTCAGGAAAAGCCTTAATAAATGAGTGTGACGTAAAAGAACACAACGCACACCCTCAATAACAGAATGTTCTATTCATAAAACAGGCCCGGAGGAGTGAAAACTTTAAGCATAGTTCTTGAGGCACTGACCGCACTACTCTTCACTGCATGTAAAAGCACATTCAACACAAGATCCTATGGGGCTTTTGCACATGCTAACTTCAAATCATATGTCTTAGCTGTTCTGTGAATAATCCCTTTGTCACTATAGCAGGAATGAAGAGAGTTCAGTGTACCAATTTGCAACATGTTCTAATGAAAGTTTAGTCATAGAAATATTTTTTTTAAAACATAGGCGTTTTAAATGAATCCGGGGAATCTGAACGTTTTCAGTTCAGAGGAATGTGTGGCGCTTTGATAGAATTGGAAGTCGTGTACTTGATGGATAGAAAGAATACTTTGACGAGTTGATGAATGAGAAACATGAAAGAGAAGGAAGAGAAGAAGAAACAAGTGAGGTGGACCAACAATGATTGGGAAGGAGGAAGTTAGAATGGCACGAAAAAGAATGAAAATTGGGAAGGCAGTTGGTCCTGATGACGTACATTTGGAGGCATAGAAGCGTCAGTGGCTGTGCCTGTGGAGTTTTTGACCAGGTTGTTCGATAGAGTTCTAGTGGGTAAGAAGGTACCAGAGGAATCGAGGAAAAGGTTCACATTTTCAAGAGCGAGGACGATGTGCCAAGTTGCGGGAACTATTGAGCAATCAAGCGGCTGAACTACACGACTTGATGGATGTGGTGAGCGAAGACATGAAGGCAACTGGTGTTTGAGAGGAGAAGATTTGGTGGAAAAGAAAAGAATGACGCATGTGGCGACCCCTAACGAGACAAGCAGAAAGAAGAAGAAGCAGAAGTTCTGCGCAATCAACAGTTTTCCATCGTCTCTCATCGTGCATCTTGCATACAGTGTATTAAAGTACTATTAAAAATTACCACCCTTTAGAATGAGTTAACAATTTTTTGCTGTAATAGTAACTTTGAATAAAATACACTGTAATACTAAGAATCTAAATTTCCAGTCATATTTTCTTGAAAATGAAATACTATACTTCGCATTCACAATTTAAACTAGGTGAGTGTGTGTGTGTGTGTGTGTGTGTGTGTGTGTGTGTGTGTGTGTGTGTGTGTAAAAATAAATAAATAACAAAAGTAATACTAAACCAGAAGCACTGAAGGTGACGAAACAAACATTAATTTGATATACTGTACCTGTGGGGCACTATTTCGTTTCAACACTAGAGGGCAGCAAGGACTTGAATATGAATGATATTAATCTTTGCGGTAAGTATTCATTGAACTCACACTTTTCAACCGGTTTGTCACATTTAATTCCAAATAAATATTCCTATTTTGACTGCCATAATAGCTTGGTGCTATAGTGTACCACCACTTCTCTTTTCCATAGTGCAATTGTTTCAAAGGTGACTAATTGGTGATGTTATTCATTCATTCATTCATTCATTTATTAAGCAATTGAGGAAAACCGCTGTGACGTGGACTATTTGGCTGCAAACAGCAGCAGTGATTTTTGATCAATCTCATCTAGTTTGGTAATTGCTAACCTAACATAAGAGGTGTCGTGACCAATAAGCTAAAAGTCATGACAACTATTTGTAAATTAGTTTAGTTTTATTATAATAATTATATTTTAATTAAACAATTCACTCAGTTGTTCTTCACATTTAAGCATGATTTGATTGTATGGGTTTTAACATTTACCAATCTGTATATTTTCATCAAACTGTAATTTTATCATATTTTATTACATATCTTATGACAATGTTATTAGCATTATTTTTCATCCTTGCAATGGCATTTGTTTAGGGATGTCATGATTTCATAATAGAGGCTATAGTGTGAGTAAGACACCCGTACACTGTAAAAAAATAGTGGTGGTTTCACTCAAAATCTCAAGGCAATAACCTTCGATAATATTTGAAATTGGGCAAGTCAAATAAATGTTTTAAATTTGCTGTGATGAAAAAATGGCTTTCCTGCATTTCACAAAGACATAATGTTTACAGTACTCGTGTCCCTTTCATTGTGGCCAACATAAATGACTGTATTAGCCTCCTCCCAAAAATACAAGCTGCGTTTTTTTCCATTCACCATGACCGAATCATGGAAATCTCATTAGCCTTGTAGATAAATTTCTGATGACATCAGCTATTCAATGTGCTCAAGAACTAGAAGAAGAGAAGAAAAAGATTAGGGAAGCCTTTAGCATTGATGAGAGTTGACTTTTGCCCTCTTGCAGGAGTGAGTGCCCCGCTGTCTGCTAGAGCCTAATCACAGGTCAAAGTCTGCTTCCAGTAAGAGTTGCGTGTTGTTGTCATCGCTCACTCGCAAAGCTCCTCTCACCCTGTTGACAACGCATCTGACATTCTTTACAACCATGCTCCTCCGGACTATTACTCTTCTGCTGCTCCTTAGTGTGACCGCTGGTGTCTGTGCCAACCTGGGTCACTACCAATCAAAATCACTGGAGGAGGAGGACACTCCGGCGCTGGATCCACAAAACACAGATGTGGCAGACACCAAACTATACCAAGACCAGACCAACGAACTCCCTGAAGTTTTACCGAACAAAACACCCGAAGCAGTCGAAGGGCCCGGAGAAATCAGCCAAGCTGGGGAAGCCCAGCATCAACCTAAGGATGAAGAAGAGATGGGGAAGAGCAACGAGATCCAGCCAGTCCAGATGAGCATTTCCACTCCAGATGACCAAAACAGCAGTAGCTGGAGCCTCATGTCAATTAGAAGCAGTTTCCAAACGATGCACGGCTACTTTGATTCCCTGGTCGAACTGGTGGGGGGTCACAATGGCGTGTGTCAGTACCGCTGCAGATACGGTGAGTATGTGGTCTTCCACACCGTTCCTTATGTTTGGTAAATAAAATGAATAGCTTGCTCTCATAACACCCACTGAAAGGATGCATGGCGCATCCCTCGTGTGGATTTCCTGATGCAGCACAATCCAACAAAAGGATGTTTGTAGCAGGTTACGTAAACATAGAGACAAAGTTTCACAGTGTATAATCTTATCGGTGAAAAGAACAACTCTGACATCACATGGGGGGCTGATGATCATGATGACTCTGGCCTGAGGTGAGACGTCTAATGTATCTCCATAATATAAACCTTAAACACCGACTTGGTTTTGTTTTTGTTAGTATAATATTACTTATTTGTTGATGGTATGAAAGGTCATAGAAAATAATTTTTAATCTTGTATGCCCAAAGTCATCTGGGATAGACTCCAGTGCACCGGTGACACTCGTATAGTGAGGACAGAAGGGAGGGAACTATTCTTTCGTTTTATTTGATCAACATCATTAATGTTATTGAGACGTCTTTGTTCAATTTATATTCATTCTAGCCGAATTGTATTATGACTACATGATATTTGTGAAGTTTTGTTATTGTTGTGTTGTCTTCACTCAGTATCTGGAGTGTGTTACTTTTGTGATTTATTTTTCCAGATTTGAAAAAGAAACTGGAAAAAAATATACATATGTGTCATCTTTGATATTATTTTATTTTACTTTAAGCATTTGACAATAGTACAGTATTTATATTAATCCAGTTCTCATGTTATCATATTTCCATTTCAGACATCTTTTTCCACATTCAATAGGTGATGAATTATTTCACATTTATTTAACATCGCAATATTGGGGTTATTTTTGCTGCCGACATCACTGAGAGAGTCACTGAGTCAACGCAACATGATTGACGTGATTAAACGTTCAACATTTTAAATGAATTCACAAATAAAGAACTAAGTACAGAAATGAAAGTTATTAAAAGAACATACAGTTCAAGTACAAGAAAAAAAACAAAAAAAACAAATCAGGAACCTGGACTTGAAATTATTCACACTTGGGACTGATTTCACTTGTGTCGGCAGTTAAAATCATTTGTTTGCAGCACAAGTGCTGTTAAATTGCGTCACCAAAACTGTGAACGTAATCTTCCGTGTTTCCTCAGGGGAACGTCCTCAACCTCGTCCTGACTACAAGCACCAAGAGCCCAATGGCTGCAGCTCTTCCATGGTGGGATTCCAGGTAGATGTCGCCCTGTTCATGGCACCAAGCAGCTGATTTGCTCTCGTAACAACCACCAAATAGACCGACATAAACTCAAATTGTTTTTCTTGTGCCAGATTGATCTTGGCATCCCGGCCATGACTGAGTGCTGTAACCAACTCGATGTGTGCTACGACAACTGCGGCATCAACAAGTACGACTGTGACACCAAGTTCCGTTCTTGTCTTCATAACATTTGCTCCGACCTGAAGAGGAGTCTCGGCTTTGTGTCCGAAGTACAAGGTCAGACAAAGACACGCTCCTCCTCACGTTCATTACGTCACATCCGATACGTGAATCAAATAATCTACCATTACAAGAATACAGTTTTGACAGACAACCTGTAGTTCTATTTCAATGTATAAAGACCGGGCAGCATGGTGGTCGACTGGTTAGCACGTCGGCCTCACAGTGCAGAGGTGCAGGGTTCGATTCCGGCTGGCCCGTGACGTCATTTCATGTGGCCTGTGAAAGCAAATCATGTGTGTCAACTTCCATTGCCAAAATCTGTACCGAAATGTCAAACTGTCATGTGCAATAAGTAACGTTGAGATTTTGCATTCATTTTGTTACTCCTCACTTCAACAATAATTGAACACACTATTATAATTGACTTGACTGATTTCAGAACTAGTAATTCATCAATTTGTTGTGTACAAGTAATAATACGATGAGAAAATCAAACATTAATTTAGTTTCACTATCACAACGGCCCTCCAAGCAAGACGTAACTCCAAACTGGCCAGCCACAGAGTTTGACACCCCTGTTCTACGTACATACAGTACGTACATGCAGTACATATGTACATACATACATACATATGGTAGATGGGGTACAATTTCACAGTCATTCAAACTCAATTTCATGGAGTCTTGCTTGAAATTTGTTTTTCATCTGTTGGCATACACAAAAAGAGCATTTTTGTATTAAAAATAAAACCCATCTTTTGGATGCAAGTCCAATCTGTTTGTTTTAGCAATATTGGGATAACACTGATAACGGTGATCATTTTGGTCCCTGTAAATGTGATATCAAATATACGTATATGGCTCAGAAATAATTGCAGTTACTTCACTGTATGAATCGGGTGGTTTCGATCATATTTGTATTATTATATTTGATTGGGTTCTTTGTGTAGGGTTGCATTAGATTTTATTTGTGTACTGTCTTAATGTGAGTCTACTGTACACTAATGAAAATACTCTGTGGGTTTCCTGTCTCTTAGCCTGTGAGTCGATGGCGGATGCCATGTACAACACAGTGTGGACACTTGGATGCCGGCCCTACATGAACAGCCAGAGGGCAGCATGTGTTTGTGATGGAGACGAGAGGGATGAACTGTGACCCTGAACACCATGGAGGCATTGACATGGAGAAAAAAAAAAAAAAAGACAGTTTTGCACATATGATATTTCAGAGCATGGAAGAGAGATGCAGCATAACAGAAGCTAGCTTGCAGCCAGAAAGGTCCCAAATAAGGAAATTCCATGACACTCAATATTTGGGGATTGCGTGATGAAACATGTTTCTACTCTTCATGTTCAGGCCAATTCTTAGGCCCGTATAACTCCATTAACATTCATTTCTTTAGGACTCCAAACAAAGGAAACGCGAACATAAAACACTTAGCAGGCTAATTGCGCTCAGGATGTGAGTCAGTGTTAAGTTATTTGCTATTTATGCACGGACGAGGAACTGCTCCTTCTCTTATACGCTCAGCAGACACAGCATTAAGTACAATGCAATATACCGTAATTTCATCTCGCCTGCGTGCCATTATGTGTACCTAATGTTGTTTGTTACAGTGTACAGCGATGCATCAGTCGTTTTCTATGCACTCTATATTATTACGAGTGTTCAGCGACGGCGCAGAATAAAACCTCCTTTGATGAAAGCCACTCAGTCATTCCCGAACATTAGAAAAAGCATCTCTGACACTGCAAATGAACTCATGTATTCATGTTGCAGTTGCTTCAGATGAGGCACCGTGACCGCAGTGATGACTTCATACACAGTAAAGGTCACTTAGGATAATGTCACAGATGTACTAAGTTTAATCCACTTTCCACCAAGCAGTCTTCGCTTCAGCTCACAGTATAACATGAAAACCATAAACGATGCTTTGTATTTCATTGCACCAAGTGTAAGAAGGATGGCCATAACTGTGCCGTCAAATGAAATGTTTGACCTTATACCCACCAATGAATTGAGCAAGGAAGAGGAACCAAACAGCGCAGTGTGCAACGCTGATGTCAGCAGCTATATTTTCTACCACGCCGAGCCTTGTTCCACCCTCGGTGCTGCACCACTGCAGTTGGTGTCTGCGCAAAAGTGCGATGATTAATTATCCCTTCATTACGGATAGAAAGATTTACTCATGTAATACATTGTCAGCTACTGTGGTGTACATCTGCATATTCTCAGATTTTTGTTTTTTGTTGTTTTGTTTTTTACAACATATCCCCTGTTATTGATGGAAAAAAGTGTTTTCAAGTGTTTTGTTTTTGTGCTCAGGCCAATGCTATCTTTGGTGCTTTAATGGCATCCTGTTGGATTTTAGCACTAAAGAAACAACCTGTTGAAGTGATTTGAGGAGCTTAAAGACCTTTTTTTCAGGGGCAATTACCTGTACTTAGGTGTGGTGTAAATTGGCTGCTGGGTAACAACATAAATTGATTAATAAACAGCAGATTGACAGCGCTCTACTTTTGATCGAATAAACACAAGTAGAACTTTCATTGAAACACTTCAAACTGAGCTATAAATTGAGCATCATGCAATTTGACTACAACACAGGGAAACCTTTGAATCAGCTATTTGATGACGAGCAGGGGCGGACCAACGCAGTGGTTAATGGTGGCCGCAAACAGGGAAGGAAAGGCTTCTACAAAAGCTCACAATGTTGTCAATCGATGCAATAATATTTTCTTCTACACAGTTCAAAGTCAAATTGAATAATTGAGCCGCTTAATTTTGACCTGCATTCATTAAACGCATTTGGGCCATTGCCAATACGTAAGGTACACCTTGACAATCAGCTGCTTAAAACTTTACGCGCATTATCCAAGATTGTCAAAACTTGGTTCATGAAAACAAGGCTATCAGCAATTAGCTCTTGTATCTTCTGACGTAAGAGCGTTTGTTTGTTTCCAAGACAGTATTAATGGAGCAGGTGTGGTCTGAAGTGGAAGTACATTGCCGCAAACAGAGATCTTCATCATAAACATGGCATTTTAATGGAGAACGTGTTTTTAGTGGTGCTTCAACTAAACAGTTTCAACATTACACGTTGGAGAACACATGGACAAACTTAAAAACCAATCAAATTTCTGTGATTGAAATATCTGCGGAAATTGAATCCGTCTGGCTGCTGGGTCCGGGCAGGATGAAAATGGGGCCCCCACTCAGTGTGTGCTGACGCTCAGATGCGGCACCACGACGGACACGTCCCCGACAAGGCTGACTGCAGCGAGAATCTCCCAGGCTACACACCAACACCTGACAGTGGAGGAAGACTTGCTGCAACACACAGGATACACCTGCTGTCATCAGACATCTTCTACGTAAATGAGGCGTGTCCCTACTTTTTCGTTTGAGGGCCACATTCATAAAAATGCAAGGATGCAAGGCCTGCTTTAACATTTTTCAACTTTAATTTATTAAACATGCTAAAATCAGTTAAGCAAGCAGTGATATATTGTTTACAGGTCCTAGCTATTTAAGAAAATGGTTACATAACAGCTTTCTGTTCGAGGTGATAAATTGTTGAGGATTTATCAAGATTTTAGGGTGGACAACAGCCCTGTATCTCACTAGATTAGCTCCAGCACTAGAATGAACAGAAACTGAATCCCATCTCCAACATTCAGAACTGTAGGGAGATGACCGTTTTTAAAACAGTTACGTGAGAACGATTAACGCGACATGTTCATGAATTAAAGAGAAACTGTGTTATTATTTTAGTCGTAAATACAGTAGTTCATTTGTATCTTTACATATCTAGAAAAGCTGTTAGGAATGTGAATCACTTTGTAGTGGCCCCTATTTTTTTTTCGACACCCTCCTTTATCACCCTGCCCACCCCCACCCTCATTCATTTTTTTTTTTTTAACCAGCCTTGTGGGCTGTGTCAAATGTCATTTTTATTATATGCCACGGGCCACTGAAGAATTGATGGTGGGCCGCAAATGGCCCCCAGGCTGTAATTTGGACATCTCTGACGTAAATGCTACTTGTATGGCGCATTCATTGATCACAAATTGCTACAGAGAAGCAAGTTAAAAATGAGATACAATCATTAAATGATAAGCAACAAACATTCATTGATCTCAAAGTGCGACAGAGAAGCAAGTTAAAAATGAAATAGAAAAAATGAGATACAATCATTAAATGATAAGCAACAACGAGCAATTAACATAAAGCTGTCTAATAGTTACAGTCAATAATGCAGACAACATACTGTCAGGCAAACCTACGCCCACACACACACACACACACTCTCTCTCTTTATAGCCAGCTGGTTCCCAGCAACCTGCCTGACTCACCCGGTTCTCCTTGCCAATGAACTTGAAGACCGGGACCTGGTAGTGCCTGGAGAGCTTGTCCTTGGATGAGTACTGAGTAACTGTTTCATCCGAGATACACCTGCTCACAAGACACGGAGGTTAAATCTTTACAGGGATGCCCGCTGTTCCATCTTTAGAGAACATCCATCCATTCTCTCTACCACTAGCCTCACGGCAGTGCTGTCGCCTATCCCAGCTGACTTTGGAAGCACCAATGTCTTTGTACATCTTTTTTTTTTTTTTGACGGCAGTGCTGTCGCCTATCCCAGCTGACTATGGAAGCCCCAATGTCTTTGTACATCATTTTTTTGAATCTGTATTCCTCACTTTTAATTTCAGGAAGTATTGATGACTTGTATGCTTTGTGGAACGGCTTTATTTACATTCTTGTAATTTTATGTGGTTGTAAAATACTGTGAATAGCTTTGTGTACAAATTGTGCTCGATATATAAAAGTGCCTTGAAACTTGCCCTGCCTTCAAAGGTTGAGCTGGCAGTGGATTGTGTTTTCTCGACGGATCATCAGCAGCAAAAGTCAGGGGTGTTTGACATTTGATGCGACACATGAGGTTCGCTGTCCTATAACTGTCAATCATTTGATTCCCACGGCAGCAGACGGGTCGTATCGGACAAAGTCACAATGCTGTGGGACCAAATGAATTTCTTTCACAAATAGAATTAAATTAAGGAGTAGAATGAATGTAGCAATCAGGATTCTTTAAAGGTTATGTGAGTCCATGGCATGTGCTGTAAGTCTTTGCATTTAAGAAAAATAAAGAAATAAATGTTTTTGCAGATACTGCCGATGGGTGTCTATTCCATTCCAGGATGACCTGATGGAATATGCTTTCTTTCTGTTTTTCTATACATGATTTATTCAGCTTATCTGAGCTGGAGCGTTGAGTCGATTACTGGGCTGACACAGAGAGCCTCCACAAGCAGCTGACACAGTTGCAAACAACGATTATTGTCCCATTGTTGCGTTTGTATATGTATATGTGTATTTTATATTCGCACTGTTTATTCTAAAAATTCTTCACCAGCTAGAAAGGTGCGACATCACAAAGAGTGGGAGAAAGGTGTTCAGCTTTCTTTTTTCAACTCCCTTCTTTTGTCACATTCTGGAGACAAAAGACAATGCTAGTATAAATATATAAAGGCACCGCTGTAAACAAGCCGAGGCACTTTAAGGTATGCTAAAAGAGTTTTTTTTCCATCAAGTTTTACAGACAACAGTTCCATGTATAATCGTACAGTTAAAGTAATTCTAAATTATGATGATGCGAAAACTAATTTCCATTGTTTCTTGAAAATCTGAAGAATCGAAGGTAAAAAAATGGTTTGATCCAGTTAAGAGACTGCAAGAAAAAAGCTGGTCATGGACTTTGTTCTGCTTGCTGTGCTGTGCTTCTAATTTGTGCAGAAGTTGAACTTGAAAAATAATTGGACTCTGAGACAACTCACCCGTCTTTTATCAGGTAATACTTGAGGGCCTGGTCAGCTTTGGGCCCTGGCGTTGCAAAGCAGCTCTCTACCAGGGCAGAGAGGCCATCCACTCTCTCTTTGGGCTCCACCCCGAAGAACAGCGATTCGTGAAGATGCAGATGAGGCGGCGCACGGTAAATCTCCAAGAACTCCGCATTCTTGAAGAGCTCCAGCGAGAAGGGGAAGACCCCCTCGCTGTGGCCGGCCAGCTGCAGGGCTGAGCCGCGCTGACTTGCCTGGAATCCATCGGACACTTGGTACTCCCTGGGGAACTCACAGGTGATCGGCACTACTAATTTACTGGTGCGTACGATAAGGTCCCCGCTGCTACCCGGACGGGCCCTGGGGAGGCCTGTCACCAGGTTGGTTGCGACTATCTTGTCATCGGTCACCTGTGAGGGAGACATTGTCGTTAGTATGAAGCAAAGAGCTGATACTCGCAACTGTGACTGACCTCTACAGTAGTGCCACATGTCTTGAGGCTGAAGTTGAGGTTGATGTGCGTGCCATTGGAGATACCACGACATGACGAGTTGGAAAGAAAGAGGTCCAATCCTCCAACAATGTCCTTTGGTACTGACACCGTAATGGAACTGGGGTTGCACTCCACTGGCACTGCAAATGTAAGCATGCGATTAGAGGGGAACTAAACTACCAAGCAAGTGTTTTTTTTTTTTTTTCAGTCCATTTTATGTGCCAGCATTAGTCAAAATGTGGTGCTCTGATTCATATTTTGTTGGCGGAATAAGATTTAATCAGAATAATTTATCTATCTAAGGGGGAAGCCGTGTTGCCCTCTGCTGTAGACCACAAGTGACATCAAAACTACCGTAGTGCTTTTACAGGAC